CCGCCCCTCCTCGTCGTCTGCAGCAAGGCTGCGAGCGGCGCACCTGCGCTGGGGGCAGCAGCGCCTCCGGCGCGCTGGCGCGCGGACTCGCGGGCGCCGCAGGAATCAGGCGGTCTCGGCGTCCATCTCGCGCAGGGTCGCCTCGGCCTCGGGTGCCACTCGTAGCTGCTGGGGCGTGGCTTCGGCGGCGTGCCCTCGGTAGGCCAGTCACGTCACGTGACGGCGTTGGCCTTGGCCGCCCTCGGGGAAGTGAGAGCATCGCGGCTGGCCCGGTGCATCTGACCGTGGATCTCCTGGACGTCTTGGACTTGTCCCAAGAACCAGGCCTTCTGCTCCCTCCACGCGAAGATCAGTTCGCCGCGCTGGTAGACCTGCTGAGTTCGACTCTTGGCAAGCCGCGCGAGTCCCGGCTGTTTTCCCTTGGGCCCCCTTCGCAGGATTGCCAGGCCAGCAGGCGCCGTCGCGCGCGCGCGCGCCTCGGCGGAAGACCCCCGGCTTGCTTCGGGCCCGAGCTGTCGAGCCGCCCCTTGCAAGGGACTTCCCAGAAGTCGAGTGGCCCGCCCTGGGGCGATCGTGTCTGGACTGACTTGCGCAGCGGTGGACAACTCGTTTCGCGCGATGGCGCCCAGTGGAAGAGCTTCTCCACGGGGCATGCGGGGTCCAAGTACGCCGTGCGGGCAGCAGCTCTTGGCGATGCGATGGTAGCCTCCTCCCGTCCAGTCTCCCGGTGAGCTTAAGCAGGCTGACGCACAGGGAGGCGGCGCGGCCCTGCAGGTCGCGGGAGCGACGGTTGCCTCCGAAGCCGGAGCGGAGTCACGCAAGTCAGCTAGAGTGCCGGCGCCAGCCCTTCACGATGAAGTTTCAGGTGTCGTCGGTCGCGACGCTCCCTGCGTTGCCTCCTGCAGGCGCCATGCGGTGAATCTCGTCGAGGGTCTTGCAATTTTCCCCGTTGACGAGTAAAAGTGCGGATTTGTTTTGGATGCCTCAAGCGACTCGGCCGTCTTCCCAGTGCCCATTGGTTGGGCTCCGCGTGTTCTTGTGCCAGTCGCGCGCGCTGCGCCCCCGGCCGCCCGCCAGGCGCCGCGCCCACCGAGGCGTGCCGTGCCGTCGAGGCAGAGCCCGGAGGGCTCCAGGCGCGGGATGGCCCGGCTGATTGTTCGGGGGCAACGATGAGGGGGGGGGATGGGCAATGGGGGGGGGGATGCATCGCCCCCCAAGCGCCCATTGATCGACGATGGGGGCCCGATAGCCCCACCCCGCCCTGGAAGGTTCGGATTCACTATCGGAGGCCTATCTCCGATCTATCGGCGATGTATCGCCGATTCCTAGGTCGATGCATCCCTCCCTTATGCCAGTCCCCCCCTATCGTTGCCCCTCAATTGAGCAGTTCACGGGGAGCTCGTAGGGCGTCCTGTACCTACTGCTTGTCGGCCTGTGGCATCGCGTCCACGTCCGCTTGGGAGACCATGCCCGCGCTGGGCGCCGGTCAGATCGCCGCGCGCAGTGGCCAGGAAATATCAAGCTTCTTGGCAAGAGGTTGCCCGAGTCCCATCAAGCTCGAGCGGGCCATGTCGTCGGCAACGGTGATAGAGGAGGTCATCGGGAAGCGTTCTCCTGAGGCCATCCCGTAACACTGGTCACGTGGGCGACGCGCAGGTGCTTTTTCCAGTCGACAGGAAGTTTGAGGGAACGCCGATGTGCTCGAAGTTGTGGGCTGCGGCTTCCTTTCCAGTTCGGACGAGATTGTATGCGATTCTCTCGCTGCGGTCTCGAATGGCAGGCGTCGAAGGGGCGGGCGATGGCATGGCCAAGAACGCGCGCCTCGGGTTGATAATCAACATGTGGCTGAGGGACTTGGCGGCCCCCTTCTCGGCGGTCAAGTCGAAGCCCGCGGTCAAGTTGCCCTTGCGCGCGAGCCCTCCCATAACTCGACACTTCTGTCATACGGCCGCGGCAGCCCTGCGCTCGAAGGGAGAGCGCGCCCACCTGTCGCCACCCACGCAAGGCCAGGAAGCTGGGGCTGAGCTCGCGGCCGATGCCGCTGATTCCGGCGCTTGCCAGGAATGTAGTTTCTCGAAAGCCCCAGCGGCTCAAGTGCCATCTGACTCCCGCGGCTGGACCGTCCAGGTTCACGGCGTGTCCTTGGCGAGCGTGTGGGCGGTGGCCTTGACGCCCCAAGCCCGTCGGCCTTGCATCTCCCTGGCCAGCTGCTGTTACCTGTCAAGGTTACACTTGGCGAGGCGGGGGTCGGTTGTGGCTTGTGCGCGTTCCTCAGGGGCGTTGGTCGCATCCTTCTTTTTGACCGCGCAGGAAGAGTCCGCGAGTGCCGCCCTTAAGGTCGTTGTAGTGGCCGTCTTCCTCCAGGTTGAGGATCCAGGCTGAGCTGGGAAATGGCGGCGGCATGCCCGTCCTCAGCAGACACGCGACACATGTAAGAAATGGGTTCGTTGATGAAATGCCCGCTGCCCACAAGACTGGGGGAGCTTCTCGGGCCGAGGCAGCAGCTGCCCGGGGAGGTCGCTTTCCTCGAGTGTCCGCAGAGGGCCCTGCTGAGCCCCAGTCCCTCGTGGAATCCCCCGTCGGCCCTGGAGTCCTTGAGCACCTGAGTGTCCGTCTGTGGGCCTACTGGGAGCCCTGGGTCGCCCAACAGGGCAGGCGTCTCGTCATGCACTTCCGCGCGTCGTGGGACCCCCACCCCCCATGGGAGGAGAGGGTGCGTGAGACGTGTGGGGGGCCACATGCGAACCCTACCCCTGCCCCCCACGATTTCTGAGCAGGGTAGGGGTAGGGTTCGCATGTGGCCCCCTACACGTGGTTGTGTGTGTGTGTGTTTTTGGTCCGTGCTGGTTAGGAGCTGATTAGGGCCCAGATCCCCCTATCGGTAACCCGCCCCCCCAGCGTCTCCAGGTCAGGGGCAGGCCCCACTGGCCAGTGGGAAACGCAGGCGAAAGCCACGCGGTGGCCATCGCTGTGCACCAGAGCCCGTGGTGCCCCAAGTTGTTTGCGTAATGCTTGGTCGGATGTTTGGTTTTCTTGTCGGCTAGTTGGCTGGCAACTTGGCTGGTCTGCTGTCTAAACAGGCGGTCGGCGGTTGATTCGGGCTGGTTGCTGGCTGGCTGCTTAGGCTCGTCCAGCGGATTCGTGGCCTCGGGGGAGTGGGCTTGTTATCATCAATGGAGGACTGTCGCCTCGGTGGCGCGGACATACTGCAGTTTCTAAGGGAGTGCAGTCCCGGGGGACCGAGCCCGCGTTTTTTTTGTCCAGCGACTGCGGCTTCGGGAACGCCAGCCGGCTGCAATTTCTATGGGGCTGAGGCTTCGGGAACGCGACCGCTCAGCACGCATTACTTTGCACCAGTCTGTGGTCTCAGGAACGCGAGCGCTGTGTGATGTACGATGGGCTCTGGTCTCGGGTTCGCGAGCTTCTTGCGTTTTACGATGGGTGTGCTCTCGGGGGCGCGAGCGCGATGTCATATGCAAGGGGTTGTGGCTTCGGGGGCGCAAACTTGATACAAGGTGCTGGGGATTGTGCTTGCGTGGGCGCGAACGCGTTGTGAATTACGAGTTACTGTGATTCCGAAGGCACCTAGCTGTTCTAATTTGCCTGGGGGTCGGAATCTCCGGAACGCGAGCGCGTCGTACTTACGGATTGCGGCATCGAGAGCGCGAACTCGTTGCACTTGGAAATTGATTGTGGTCTTGGGAACGCGAGCTCCTTGTAATGTATCAGAGGTTGTGGCTCCGGGGGCGCGAATGTACAGCAAGCTAGAAGGGACTGTGGCCTTGGGAGTGCGAGTGCGTTGTACTTTGGGAGGGGGTGTGGCGTCGGGGGCGCGAACCCATGAACTTTACAATGGATTGCGGCCTCGGGGGCGCAAAACTGTTTTGTTTCTTCGTGTCGCAGCTCCCCTCCCGTAAACTCTGCGGACGTGACTCTGACGTGGTATTGTGCGGTTTACGGGCTCAGGTCTTCCCGCGGGCTTGAACCATTGCAACATTGGAGCCACAAGACCGCTAGCTATGAGATCAGAAATCTTCGCGCTGGAACCATCGCAAGAAACGCGGGCACCTACGCCTCGCATCCAATTGACTCCCAAGGGGCCAGCGGATGTGTCGACAAGGCGAGGCATATTGTTTCTGCCGGTTCTGATTGCATGATGTGGAACGAGGTGGGCAGGAGAAAGGCATGCACGCATGATGAGACGCTTATACTCAGTAGAGCGGATGGCGGCCATACTGGCAGTTTGGAATCACCAAACTTCAGAAACATGTTGAAGGACATTGGCATACACCATACATTTGAGTCAATCGGGGTCGATGTGATGGCCGTCGAGCTGTGTATGCTTTTCGACCTCTTCGACACGGACAGGGGAGGCTCAGTCGAGAGCAGCGTCCTTTCCACCGCAGTACTGAAAAGTTGCACCGCTCGTTGTCAGGGTCGGACAGCAGGCTCGAGTAGAGATGGCAGGTGCTCGACCTTCAGGGTACTCTCGGGTCGGGCGAAAGGGGGGGATTGGGAAAGGGGGGGTTACGAAATTTGCTGCATGCAGCTGGTTTCGGCCTCACCGAGGGGCCAATTCCTCGATACATGGCCGCTCCCGGCGCCGGGAGGCGCCGGGAAAATCAGCTACGTGAGCTGATTCTCAAACCCCCCCTTTGCTATCCCCCCCTTTCGCCCGACCCGATACTCTCAACATCCCCCTCCCCACGATACCCCAAGGAACCAGTATCGTTGACTCGAGGCACGAAGACAATTACGAGACAAAGCGGCAGATGGATGCTCGATCTTCCAGACCCCTCTGGCTTGCACGACGAGCGCAGCTTGTGTCCAGAGGAGTTGTGTGCCACGGGGTTCGCTGTGCGCTCGTTGGAGAAAAACGTATCTCAACTGTACAAGCCCCCTGAGGCCATCAAGCCCGGGTCTGGAGGCTCCAGACCTGAGCACGGGGAAAGTCACGCGCCACGCCCTGGACGTGCCCGGAACCAACACTGAATTGAATATGTTGTTGTGCGCATCTATGTGTTCTTGCCCTGGTCTGTCCTCGTTCCGATGTGCATTTCATTGCATGTTCGTTTTTTTCGGCTCAGACGCACGTCCACCACTGGTGGCTGCCGAGAGGTGATGTGGCCACTGTCCACGCTTGCCGCCCGCGCATGGTATCGTAACGTACCGAACCTGCAACTATAATGAAGAGGAGGGCAGCCCTGGCAAGCGCGTGCAGCGCACTGTGGCTGGGCGCCGCCGCCGCGGAGCCTCCGAGGGACCTGGCGCAGCGGGAAGCCAACGCCAGCTTCAGCAGCGGCTTCCTCGCCAAGGGCCCGCCCGCTCACGCGCCAGCAGTCGCTTACCCGCCGAGGCTGTGGGAGCCCAGCAGGGCAGCCGCGGCGCTGGGCGGCACCGACGCGCAGCTCCGCGGCCGCGGGGACGCCGCGGCGTCTGCCCTCCAGCTGGACGCGGCGGCGCGCAAGGGATCCCAAAGCAGGGGGGGCCTGCAGACCATCCCGACGCCCTTCCCCATGAAGTCGGTAAGGCACCGGAAGGAGGCTGGGGACAGCTACCTCGAGGGCTCGCCCTTGTACCCGCGCCAGCAGCAGCGCGTGGATGCCACCGCCGCCCAGGCGTCGCCACAGCTCCCAGAGCGGTCGGAGCTGGGCCGCGCAGCAGCTTTCTCAGAACCACCGCTCCTCTCACACGGACTCTCGGCTTCGTCGCCCTGGGGACGGGTCACTGCGCTGCTGCTGGCGCACGTCATGTTCGCCCTGCTCGTCGTGATGTGGGCGTACTTGTACCGCGCTCACGGCAAGGGCCGTTACACGCGGAGCGTCCAGGCGCGCCACGGGGACTCTTTCACGTTCGGGCTCTTCGAGGTCGGAAATCTGAACCAGGAGCATAGGCCGAGGGCCCCCCTGCCCCTCCTGCTTTTCTGTGCTCCCACCCCATCTCCAGTGTGGTCGTTTCCCTTCCCTCTCCCTCTTCTCTTGCCCGTCCCCTCCCAAGTATGGTCCTTCTCCCCTCTCCCTCCCCCTCCTCTCCCTGCGCCTCGTTTCCTTTTCCCTCCTCACTTTCCCCCCTCCCCTCCGATGTTGGCCTCCCTCAGCACATCTCGTCCACGGGAGGGGAGAGGGGACAGGAGCCCGCTCCTTCCCTCCTCCCAGCTCTCGGCCGCCCCCCTTCAAATCTCGTTCGTGGGAGAGGAGAAGGGGGGATGAGAGGAGAGGAGAAGGGAGGAGGAGGGAGGAAGTATGAGGAGGGAGGAGGAGGAGGAGGAGGAGGAGGAGGAGGAGGAGGAGGAGGAGGAGGAGGAGAAAGAGGGGGAGGGGGAGGGGGAGGGGGAGGAGGGGGAGGAGGAGGAGGAGGAGGAGGAGGAGGAGGAGGAGGAGGAGGAGGAGGAGGAGGCGAGCAGCCAGCAGGAGTTCTCCGAGAAACCGAAAAACCCTGGAAACATGAACCCCTAGCCACTTAAGGCGGGAGGGGGAGGCGATGCCTCAAGATGAACGAGTTCAGGCCAGTGGGGGCAACGGGTGTGAAGAGTGCAGCCTCTCTGCCCCTCAGCCGCCCTGTAGCGTCGTTACAGCCAGAATGCACGGATGGACCGGTACACCGAAATCTGCACGGATGGACCGGTACACCGAAATCTTAAAGATTTGCATTCACAACGGGGCCCCTGTCTTGGGGTGGCGGCCACGCTGCACCATGTCGGCCTTCCGCTTTTGGTTGGCCCTGGTGGCAGGATTGGAAGACGGCCCCGCACACTTCGAATTCAGATTCGAACGACCGCTCCACCCCTCCTCCCCCGACGCCGAGGCCCCACACTGGGTGCAGCAGACCATGGCACCGTGGGTGACTAAAATGTGATTTAGCTCCCTGAAGGCCTCGAGCCCATCTGGTGGCTCCCCTGGCGGCGCAGGCACGGGCCCCAGGACCTCCTCAGCTGCCGCCAGGGCCTCGGACACGCACGGACCCGTAACAGGACCCCTGAAATCGCGAACCACCAGACCTGGCTTCGAGAAAAAGCACCTCGCGGCCCACGCTTGGGTGGGCAGAGGCTTACATTCATCATTCACAAGGTGGGCAAGGTGCCCGCTTGTGCGGGCAACGCACATACACTTGCGGCACCGGACCTCCATTGAGGGCTCGACACGAACGAGGGAGTGCGACATTAGCCTGAGAACTGGCGGCCCACCTGTACAAGGACGCCTGGGGACGGCCTCGGGCGGGTCGTGCCAAAGGTCGAGCTCGACCGCTCGGCTGGCCGCCCAAGAGACATACTTCAGGATCGCCTTGGCACGCTGGAGCTCCGACGAGAGGTACTCAGCGTGCACCGACGACACAGCATGCGCTGACGCCCCGAGCTTGGCAAACCAGTCGGCCCACAGATTCCCCACCCACCACCTGAGAGGGATCTCAAGAGAGAGGGCCTCCTCGGGGCTCTTGTGGGCTGGGGTCCAGCTAAACCTAGGGGGCGCTCTGGAACCAACCGCCCCGAAAATGAGCCTCCAAATCCGAGCATGCTTGCCTCTGGAGCTCTCAAGGGCGGGGTCCCAAGACTCGCCCTCAGACACCAAACTCAACAAATCACTCACGATGTGCCGCGTGGCAGACGCGTGCTGGACAAGACGAAGCACAGCCCATCTCTCAGCTCTGCCTACTGTCTGGATGCCCGGGAGAGGGCCGTACATGGCCCGGGCAGGCAACAAGTGTTCATCAATCTGAACTGCGGACCAACCGCAGCGCGTCAACTCGGGCTGCGCCGACTCGAAGCCCGAGCCATCTGTGCACGACTCAGGGCCCCACGAAGCAGGCTCGGCGTCGCCCCAGAAGAACGTCGGGAGCGCGTTCTCCGCGGCCTTCACCGCGAACGCGTGCGGCACGCTCGGGAGGCCGTACCCGCACTCCAGGTCGTCGAAGTGGCACATCGAGCCGATCTCCGCCAACATGGCTCTAGTGGCTTCGAGGGCCTCGGGCAGCGGAGGGAGGGAGCTCCCCGGCGGCACATCCAGCAGCTTCGGGCAGCCCAGCCAGATGTGCCCGTAGTTGCCGTACTCGGCGCCGCACGCACGGCAATGCAGCTTGCCATAGCCTTCCACAGCTGCCCGCCGCTCAGGAGTGAAGTAGCGGCCAGACCACAGCATCTGCAGCGCGCCCAGCTGCCTCGGCGGAAGCGCGCGCAAGCCGAGGCGAATGCCTCGGACCCACACCTGCTCGTCGCCCGAGGCCAGGTGCATGTGCCCCAGCAGCCTCTGCGCCTGCCACCGCTCGATGGACCTCATCAAATGGTGGCGAAGGTCCTCTGGCGGCACGCGCAGGAGCGAAAAGACCTCGCCCGTGTCGGACCTCACGTGGGCCGAAGAGAGCATCTCCCAACCTAGCCTCCGCAGCGACAGCCATGTGGACGTGAGCGGCCCACGCGCCGTGCCGAAGGTGGTGCCCTCGATCTTGGCGTGGGCCGCGTCCCAAGCCTTCTGCAGCCTGGCGCCGGACGTGCGGCCGTCCCACAGCCAGCCCGCGCACCGGAGGATCAACGGCACCGAGACGTCGTAGATCGGGTCGAAGCGCGGGCTGGGATGCGTCAGCAAGTAGGCCGTGCATCCAGAGCCATGCCTCCACCCATTCAGGGTGGCCGCAGCGCGCCGGAGGTGGTGAAGCCGATGATCCGCCATGCCGCTGACGCCCGCGCCGTGGGCGACCGACGGGGCCAGCCCAGTGCGCCACAGCTGCGCCGCCTTGCGCCCCGCTCCGCGGGACAGCATGGCCACTCGGCGGCCCCTCGCGACGAGGGCCGCCACGCGCGCGGCCTCCTGCCGCCGGAACACCCTCGGCCCGCGGTGCTCGTGTCCGAGGTTGCGCATCGCCCGCCTCGGGCGCAGGCCGATCTGCACGGCCCGCGCGCGGAAGCGGTGCGCAAAGCACGCGCGGTTGAAAACCAAGCCAGACTTGGCCCGCTTGACCCGCATGCCGAGGCCTTGCACGCAACGCGTCAGCTCGACGGCGGCGACCTCGAGCTGGCTGGCCTCTGCCTCGCGGGGCCCCACGTAGTGCAGGGTGATGTCTTCCATCAGCTGCCTGGGCCGCACGTTGGGGCACATCTTGCTGAGCCTCGCCATCGTGCGGTGGGTCAGGACCAGGAGCGCCGTGGGAGCGTGAGTGCACCCCGCCAGCACGCCCTGGAAGACCAGCATGGCCAGCGACAGGCTGGGCCCCACCCGAACCCTACGAGGCTGGTGGTAGAGGTCAATCATCATTCACACGAGCCGCAAGGGAAAATTGCATTCCCGGGCCTCCAAAAGAAGCTGGCTGCTGTCCACCAGCTCGAAGCACTTGGCCATGTCACTGACCCAGGTGCCGCTTTGCTCGTCCAACAGGGTGGCCACCTCCTGCTCCAGGTTCAGGTCGAATGCCGAGTCGCTGGATGTGAAGCGGGAGCGATTGCCCCAGACCCAGGGGGCAGCATGGGTCTCCTCCCACCGCTTCCCCAGGGGACGGCGCAGCTTCCCCCACAAGCGCGTCAGGGTGTGGAGTAAGGCAATGAGGCGCTTGCCCCCGTCCGCCTTGCTCATCTGCACGAGCTCCGACTCCACGCGCCCGTCGGGCCACATGCCCAACCGCTCGCAGGCTTCCAGGAGCCTCGCGATCGCCCGCAGCCCCTCGTCCGACACAAAGTAGAGAGACTTGGGCGCCAGGCGAGTAGGCCCCCGGGCGGTGGTGGCCGGGTAGCTCCAAATCGCCGCCCGCATGTCCTGGACGGTGATCGGCGGCAGCAGCTCCCACTGGTCGAAGTCAGCAGGCTTGGGCAGCCACGCCGCGCCGTGGTGGGACCAGACGTCCTCCCACTCCTGGAGCGCCGCGTCGGCCACCACATAAGGCTGCACCTCGCCCTCCAGCTGCAGCAGGGGCTGCATGGGGGCGATCTTGGAGGCACGGTGGGCCCCCCGCGCCCCCCGAAGGAAGGCCTCTTGCAGCCAGCCGCGCCACGCCGCCTCCGAAGCGGCCTGGGCGTCGCTTAGTTTCTGGTCCGCCACGCGCACCACCAGGTCGACGCAGTAGTCGAAGTGCGGCGAGACCAGCAGCATGAGGCCCCTCTGCAAGTACTTGGCCACCGTCGGGTCGATGGCGGCCAGGACCGCCCGCTGCCTCGAGACCTTCACCAAGTAGCGGTGGGCCTCTTCCAATTCCCGCAGGACGCCAAAGCACTGGCAGGGCATCAGGTCACACATGGCCGCCGCCAAGTTCAGGCCGCCGAGCTGCTCCTGCAGCCGCTGACGAACAGCCGTAAGGTGAGTCATCCACCTCTTGGCCACGACCCATGGTCGAACGGAACCGTCGCGATAGTGCCGTCGCCGCCGCGGCCGCCATCTCAGAAGCTGCCAGCGCACCTGGAGGGGCCCCGCTCGGCCCGAGTGGGCCTTGGCCTGTGCCCCGACCTTGTCCCAGCGCGCGCAGAGCTCGGCGTCGATCCCGTGCAGCACGGCGTCCCAGAGCTGGACCAGCCCGTCGGACTCCGTGACCACCTGGGCATCCGCCGCCAGCGGCCCCCAGTCGTAAGGCGGCCTGGCACACCCAGGAGGGGGCAGCGCCGAGAGCGGCCTGGGCTCGTCGGCCACCCTGCACCAGGCTGGGCGATCGCAGCCCCGCATCCGCAGGTGCACAGGGCGGTGCGGGTACAAGTCAGAGTCGAGCTGTGCTGTCACCTGGCTGTCAAGCCTGGAGACCAGGTTCGACGACGCTGCCATGAAGTCGATGATGGAGCCCTCCCCCTGAACGCAAGTCACGTCCCCGGGGGCGAAGGGAATGGCACGAACCGACAACAGCGCCTCGCGGAGCCCCTCCACATCGGAGGCCATATTCCAGTCGCCCATGATGACGAAGTCCTCGCCCTGGGCGTTGA